ATCCTACAATTTACACTATTTCCATAAATAACGAATACTCGTGAAGTCCCAAAACTTAATCTTTTGTTGAAGGATATACGTAACATAAATATATACACAATATATTACTAAGTATTTGCAGTATATCTATTTTGAGAACATGTTGTAAATAGTCTCAGGGAGTATTTCTATATACTTGTATAACAATTGGAGCAATCTGTCTCGAGTTTGTAAGTACGTAAATATAAATAGACATGAATGGATATTGTAGTAGGTGTTTCCTAAAACTATATTTGATAAACTGGTTATGTACTCAAATCGTTAGGTTGGACAGTATATGTAATAGAGTACAGCAATGTGAAGGCGTAGGCTTGCAAAATTCTGATAAGTAATTATGTTGCCTGTTAGACAGTATCGTCTTTAACTGCTGAGAAAAGCTCTACTAGTTTCGAACCACAGAGGGGTTCTTCGACCGCGCATAACTAGTAGAGCGTTTCTCAGTATATTGACGTAAGTAACCTGCGATTTTCAGTTAATATAGTATGTATCACGATAGTTATTATAAAAAGTATCGTCTTTACCGCAACTCGGAGCCCGCGCCCAGAGCCCCCATCCTCAGGGTGCTCCGTAGGACTGAACATTTCTACGACGGACACACAATCGCTACACGTTGCGCGATACCCGGCTGGCCTGTAACTTATAGCGGGTAGAATTCCCGCACGGAGCACGTCTTTGTGTGATCCACATGTCTAGGTGTCATGTGTATGTGAACTTTGTTAATGCACCCACGGTACAGGATTTTTTTTAAGGGGGGAAAATCATCGAATGACTGCTCCCGCCTGGGTGAAGCGGGAGGGAGTGTCAGACTCTTACTGACTAAAAACCACCCCGCTCCTTCTCCTGCACGTCGAGCCGGAGCCCCGGTTACCCGTTAGGTTCTCCGCGACACGGTACAGGATAAAAAATCCTGGTGTGGAGCAACGTTAAAAAAAACAGGAATTATATATTGTGAGTCAAAAGCCCCAGGGTTGTCTAAGACGACCCTGCTGTTAGATATACTTAAGTATAACGAAATGAATCTACATCTCATGATGCTCTATACAGTCTGTGACAATATACAGACTTAAGGTACATAATATACACCAGCCTTCCTCTATAGACTGTGCATATAAAATTCTACTCTCATGTACAAGACTGACATACAGTTTCATCCCACCTCAAGCTCTGCCTACTACATTATAACGAGTAAAGTGACAAACCGCAGCGCCCCGCATGTCCTCGCGAACATATCTCGTCAGTGTCGCTTGATACGGGCCCCGTATGTGTTACCAGACGACACAATACTTCAATAACAACTTACTACTTATACATACATACATACATACAGACAGACAGACAGACATACGTGCAGACAGTCAGCCAAATGATTTGATATGCAAGGACGAAAATAAAGATTCAGTACAGAGACGTTTACCATTGATTCTTATTGACCTGGAGGAACAATGGTTGCACAAGATAAGCTCCCTACACACTTCATTAGCTTCATTACTAACATTACTATGCACTTGCCTTAACAACTTGCCAACTAGTCAAATACGATACTTTTTTCGAATCGTCAAAAACGACAGTCTTCTATAGATTTTGTACGAGATTGTGTATTGTGACGTCACGTTTTTTTAGTGTCAGACAGCATACTAATTTCTTATAAATTTACTGGAAAAATACTAAAATTAACTAACCATAATTGAAAGTGGGATTATTTTTTTATATTTTATTGTATTGAAGAGTCGAAATAATTTATTTTTGATTAAGTACTCAGTTCTAAATGCCATGTCGTGCTACCAAAAATTTCGAAAATTGATTGCAGAATTTACCATATTATTTTGACATTTCTGTGACTTACTGAACGCTCAGAATAGTTATGCGATTACGTGAAAATGTGGGCGATATATCATATATCCTTTATTTCAAATGACTACCCTGATCTAAGCAATAAGTCATAATATACTATGTGTGACGTATGACGTAACATAGTAAATAATTGCCGACATAATATATAGATAGGCAGGTAAGTAGGTAGCTGTCGTTTGTCAAGCAACACTGCGGGTCCGCCTACGCAATAGTAGGACTTGATAATTTTCCATTATAACATAGTATTGTTCGAAAGAACCTCTGAATGGAATAGAAAATCAGGACTTTAAATTATTCTAAGATAGTTAAAATTATAAGTAGTTAATGATTTAAAAAACTTAAGAACAATGGCATTAAGTGCCGCAATGTGCACCTCTGGCTACCCCTTTGAGGATAAAAGGCATGATGTTATGTTATGTTAACTTAAAGTTATCAATCACTACATAGTGTAAAACAAAGTCGCTATCCGCTGTCTGTCTGTCCCTATGTATGCTTAGATCTTTAAAACTACCCAACGGATTTTGATGCAGTTACTTAAGGAATGTTTATATGTATGTACAATACATCAATATTGAACCCGTGCGATGCCGGGGCGGGTCGCTAGTCTAAAATTATAAATGTGAAAGTTTCTTTATTTTAATGTTAGTCCATCAAACACGCTGAAACTACTGAACGGATTTTGATTAAATTTGGTATACAAGCAGGGTATAGGCTGACTTAGGCGGTAGAATACTCTTTATCCCGATTAATTGCTCCCATCGGATAAAACAGGGATCATATTCTACACGGACGATGTCGCGGGCAATAGCTAGTAAGTAATACACATGTATAAGTATTTTAGTACTAAGACCTCAGAAGATAAATCAACATTTTTGTTGTAAAACAGCAGAACATCACCTAGTTCAGAGTTTCATCACTTTCTTTTTTACCTAAATTACGTTTTCTGTTCTTTATCTAGTGCAATGGCTATCCAGATATTACTATTGTGAAACAGACCCTATGTATATAAAATACATCTAGTTAACAAAAAGACAATAATTATGATGTCAATGTCTTATATTGATTCACTACTCAGCTGACCAGCCGAGGTATTAGATCCCAAGCACCATAGAAGTGGCTTGCCATCAACTATCGTGCTCTCAGCACCTCTCTGCCGGTGACAATTTATCACGCTCGGCGCCGGTACACTGCAAACGTACTCAAATCGTGCCCCTATGCGGGACCAAGTAGGGACTGCAGATAAAGACATGGATTTTTAAAGAAAGTATTTACCTTTTTTAAAGTTAACAAAGAAAAATGAAGTTGTATATGAATTAAATTATGTACTAGTAACCTAAATACATTTTTTCAATTCCATTTCAAGCTGCAAAATGTGAAGTAAAAAACCTAATATGTTTTTGATAATTAATTTCTCATAGTTTGGCCAGAAATCAGCACAACGATAAATAAACAAAATCATGCATTTCTGCTTTAATACAGATCTGTATTATTCGTCAATCTCTTGAAGAAAACCAAAACTCAAAGGACACATTTAAATAAATAAAAATGGGTGTCGACCTAACATTTTTAAATTGTATTATACATATATTGTCGCGGAGAACCTAACGGGTTACCGGGGCTCCGGTTCGAAGTGCACGAGAAGGAACGGGGTGGTTTTTAGTCAGTAAGAGTCTGACACTCTCTCCCGCTTCACCCAGGCGGGAGCAGTCATTCGATGATTTTCCCACTCTTAAGAAAAAATATATACATACATTCTAAAATTAATAATTCCAAATCCTATAGCTTATATTAGTAAAAAAATTAGATCGTTTTTTGTAAACCTCAAAAAGTAGCGCAGTTAGCATGCTGTCGGTACACGTCCGGCCCGCATGGCCGTGATAGGCGCACGGCTCTCGATCATACGGGACAGTTTTATCTCGTACGGCCCGGACCGGCTGTTTACAGTAATCTACATTTAATTGTTCACCGTACCAACAGGGCTCAGGGTACAGGCTGTAGGAGCTAGTTGGTACACGAGATAACGTGGTGATAGTGTTTAGAGATGATGTTTCATATAAGATTGTTGTTAAAAGCAAGCTTGAAAACACTTGTTCTATATTTTTTGACTGCACGGTTGGTGCGGTGGCTGGGCAACCGGCAGCTGTGCAACGTGTCGCGGGTTACATTCCCGCACGGAACAACACTTTGTGTAATCCACAAATTGTTGTCTCTGGTCTAGGTGTCATTGTGTATTTGAACTTGTATGGTTGTAAACGCATCCACGACACAGGAAAAAAAATTGTGGGGCAACGGATAAAAAAAAATCTGTAAGGTAAAGCAAGGCAAATAAATATAAGGTTCGCTTGATAGTTAGCTTCACAGCGCCGCCTACAGGCGTAACACTAAAAGACACACCAATATATATCTATAATCAGTATTATGCTCTTTTCATAAAGTTTAAAAATAAGTTAATTATAACTAGAATGATAAATAAATAATATAATCACGCCTTTTATCCGCGAAAGGGTAGGGAGATTGAGGTGCATATTACGGCACTTTTTGCCACTGTAGGTACAATATAATACCCTCTTTTCACTATTTATGTTATGCGTCCCATGTAACAGGGTAGAGCTTATTGCCATATACCGAGAACAATTCTTGACTCTGTACTAGTCACACTTGCGACCACTCGGCTAGCGAGGCAGTCTTAATTACAACTCGGTAATATATTATTATCGTTCAATTTGTTTTAATTATGATGATCCAGTGGTTTATGAAAGTCACAAAATGATGGCAGTATATATACGTTGTGTTCACCAACCACATACTTAGGTACAGTGGGTTTCATAACAGCATTAAACAAAGATTAGGACTGAACTTATAAGCTTCGATTTCCAACTAAAAGTTGTGTAACATAGACAGACTGATTAATTATAAATTTAAGAAATCAATAATTATGATATCAAATCAATTTTTCCATGGGTGGTTTTTAGTCAATACGTGTCTGACACTCTCTCCCGCCTCACCCAGGCGAGAGCAGTCATTCGTTGATTTTCCCCCCTTAAAATCAATTTTTCCATACCTTTTTAAGCCCATAATTCACAAACAATTACTTATCATAATGTGCCCACCTGCCGTTTGAGAGTAGTTGGTGATAGTAAGATGCATTTAGCGCGGCTCCATCCACCGCCGGCCGCCGGCTGCGTACAGCTGGCCTCTTAAACATTATTTATACAATCAAACTGTATGTTATGCTGTTGCTACTGACACGCTACTCTAATGGATTCTGACGGGCACTGTGTAACCTGTGCGAGTAACAAATAATACAATGTTTGTTTAGTGTATCTGTTGTGATATTGTGATGTATTGTCATATCTGTCTGTCCTTGCTGAGGTTAATTCAGGCATAATTTTAGTATGGAGAGCAGCCAGCTATGGACAGGGAGTCTCTCTGAAGGATAGGATACGTAACGAGGTGATCCGACAGAGAACTAAACAGAGTCACATTTGTCGAAGAACCGATGACCGTTGGGGTAGACGTGTTCTGAAGTGGAGACCGCGTCTAGGCAAACGTAGTGTATGGGCCCTCTAGCTAGATAGAGTGACGATATCCGCAAAGTGGCTGGTAGAAAATCGAGCTCACTGGCGTGCCATTGGAGAGGCCTATGTCCAGCAGTGACGAGAATAGACTGTTTATGATTAATTATGTATATTATTATACTTACATTGCACTCGTCATGTTATTATTCTCTTAATATTAGTGGCAGTTTAGTTTCATTGGATTACTGATACTTTCTCCAGTCTGCAGATTGGTTCGAACTTCTTAGATACCAGTAGAATATTAATGAATGATTTTGATATCAGTATACGAATAGACATGGTATCTACATAAATATTATTTTTTTGTATAATGAAAGTCTAAATACGAATACGTAATTGCAAATGTCGACTGTGGTGCGAATGAAGCTATGCACTGAGCCTCATTTCTTCATAAACTTGAAGGAAATCTATGAATCCTTAAAATACTAGAGGTCCCAAGTGGGCGCCAAAACATTGACCTCAATAAAAAGAAGTCCCACGTTGGGCGCCACAACTTATCATACCAAAACAGAAGACAAACTACCATCCATGGTATGATACATCAGCTACCATTAGCTACTTGGGCTATGGCGTTCGTAATGGTGCGATTAAGGTGGCACAGCTGAGCTCAGCACCTGGGTACATTAATTACACCATGATTTACCTTCCTAGAGCTATAATATAGTGATATAGATATTTGAATGGTGTCTTGGAGCACTGTTTGTGATTTGAGGATGACATAGTCTGCTATATTTTAATGTCCAATTGGTTCTACACACGTATCAATTGTTATTTGTTCAGCTTTGTGGTGAGTGACTTGAGTTTGGAAGTTGAAGTTGTGTAAAAATATTTCTTTCAAGTAAAAATTATCTTGGTTTTATAAGCATTGTTTATTTTAAGCACTTTCAACCAAAAACTTAAACCGAATTATATAAACCAAATCTAATTACAATTTCTTACCTACTTATTATATTTCAAACCCTACTGCTTGCATTTCTTAGACAAAATCCTAAATAACACATCCGTAATACCAAACCCGCCAAGCTAAACGTTGCCCAAATTCACTTAAAAAAACTATAAACTCGAAAAAAGAACAAAAAACCGTCAAAAAGTCAGTTTTAACGCATGCGCAGTGTCTGCGTCGCACGCGCCGCCTGTTTACACAGGTGTGACTGCCAAAAACAATATTCCGACCAAACGTCAGATGTTAAACTATCACGGTTCATGGCTGTAACAACGAGTCTTGACTTATCGGATTATTTCACATATTCCTTTTTGACTTTCTTTTAAATAGAGAGTCTTATACCCAACTCACCAACCTATCTTAAATTTGAACGAATCCCTAATTTTAGATAGGTCACATTTAACTACATTTTGGTTCACGAACCTATAAGTGATACCTAGTGGTACAAGTAAGGAGTTAGTTTAACTTGTACCTTGCGCTAAGTAACTCGCAATTTAGGGCGGTGATTGGTGAAAACGGTCATAAAACTTTCTATTACTTTTTCTAAATAATGGCATGACACCGAAATGACTACCTACATGAAAAAATCTGACAATAAGTTAACTAATTGCACTAACTTTGAAATCTGGCAGTTCATTCAGTCACAAACACAACAAGAGTAATTAAACATTTGACGAACCGGCAAAGAGACAATTCTATTTTCACGTTTCAAAGATTTTCAGTTAGAAATATTAGCCCATATTTAAAAAAAACGTTATATTTGACTGTAAATCGAATAAAATGTAAAAAATCAAACATAGCACACACAGCACACGAGCCAGCCATGCGCCGGCGCCGGCGTCGCACGCGCTGGCGTTGACACAGGTGCGGTCGCCATACTCGCCAACAACAGTGTAACCGAAGCCGCGTGACGTCATACATCTTGTTGCTGGGTCCCTCTCTACTATTTATAATAAGATGAAGAACTAAAAGCTGGTCTTTTTGACGGTTTGCGTAGAAAAAGGTTTTTAATTTCGGGCACAGGGAAGAACTAGTTTAATTAAAATTTAATGAATGATGTTGTATAATACCTATCGTTTACTCAAGTAACTGTTTGACGAGTTAACCCGACTAGTTTCAAGCCACATTAGGGGCTCATAAGTCATAGTCATGAAAAGCGTTAGGCAAGAAATAACACAGCAAGCGTCGCACAATCAATATCAATAATTAACAAAATTATGTTTTTCCTTAACACTAATTAATACTTTTGTATTATAAATGTTACATTTACAAAGGATTATATAATATAAACGTTGAATCATTATTATAATTAAAAAAAATAACTAAGGCATGAGTGTAAAATTATCATCACTAACATTTGAAGTGATTCAAAGACAAAAGTGTCGAAGTAACAATTTCCGATCACGTGTGCCGTGTGCCTGAACTACCCCTTCAGATAAAAATACGCATTTGGAACTAATATAAGTGAATACAGAGGAAATATTAAATCATCTGAAGGGACAATTCGATAGACCTACATCAGTATAATTGAAGTGAAGAAAATACGATCACACATAACTTCTGTAGGAAAAAATCTAATAACTTGGCAGTCTATTCAGAAAATCTAACCCTTTATGTTTTTGGGGCAACTTGTGCGTTGCGAGACGATTACGACACGATTCGAAAGTTTGGGCTACGTAATGAAAAAGTTAGGTTAGAATAATTTGGACTATAAGCTGTTACGGTAACCATGAGCTAAGAATGGTTTAATTTAAACTGATCAAAGTCTATAAATTGATACTAATTGATTTCTAGGACTGAATGGAATACTGAATGGATTCTTTGCAATATTAAAATCCTAGGCAAGCTTATAAATAATAAAAATAAGGTTAATTTTGCTTTGTAGTGCATTATAGACAATCAGAAGCATATTTTATTTCCATAGTTACTCTAACTTCGAAAATATCAGCCAAGTAAATATTATAATGACCAAATATTGTATTTTTCGGAATTAATTACAATCAAATCAAACAAATGACGTGCATGTAGCGTTGCTTGTTTATATTATCATTGCAACCAGCTTTCCTACGTGGGTAGTGGTAGACAAATATTGACTTTAAATACATTGCATTAAAAGTCAATTCGATTAGTTACGCTAAATGTTTAATTTGGTAAGTTTTCACATTACCAAGTGCTGTTTCTAGGATGTTCTGTGTTGCATATTAAAGACGCATATTAAATTATTAATATTACATGAATGTATGTTATTTTGATTGCATAATTATAACTTTAATCGTATTAATAATTATTATGTTTTCGGCTTACGTAATTATTTGCCGAGGAACTCGACTAGTATCAAGCCATGCTGGAGGTTCATATTCATTAGCATCGTCTGATGCTAATGAATATGAACCGACAGTCTTGTCGCGCTGCTACTAATCATATTCTTTCAAACGTTTTCTGTTGTTTGGGTTTAGTCGTTTTAATATTTTATTGACTTTCAATAGATACTTCATTTTAGAAGTAGCTTTTTAGGCACTTGGTTCAGAAAATATGAAAGTCCCTAAAGTAAATTATGAGATATGAAAAGACTTAAAACCGAAGATCTGGTCATCAAATGAAGATCCAAACTATGACCACTATAACTGAACCCTCTACACTTTAACACAAACGACATTCCTTCTCAAACTGCAATCGATCACGTCCCGTCACCGTGTCGTGGCCACTAAATCTCTACGGAACCTTTCGTTATTGGAATTTCCCTGTTACAATTTATACGTAAAGCGTTACACCTGCGGCTCGCAGCTGGTGCCTTATTGTTGACACAGATGTGGACTGCTGGATGTGCCAAAGCTTTGTTCTAAATTGAAGTTTTAATACCAAGTTGGGGGTACAGTTTTGAAGGGTGGTGCGCCTTCGGGCACGGCGCATCGTGTTGTGAATTACATCTGTGTTGAAATGAGGTAGAATGTAATTGTGTGTGTTGAAGTTTTTGATGAAATGAGGTGTAGGATTCTTTTAGTTTGAGTGTGTGATTTGCTTGTAGGTTAAAATGTGATTTGGTAATTTTTACCTCTACTTTATTTTTTTTATCATCGAATGACTTCTCCAGCCTGGCGGTAGGCTAGGAAGTGTCAGACTCTTACTGACTAAAAACCACCCCGTTCCTACTCCTGCGCTTCGAGCCGGAGCCCGGTTTATATCTACTTAGCTAAGAAATTATAGATCAAAATTAACAATGATTAGGTGTGTCATTCCATTGAATCAAGATTAAACGTCCTTCCGTCAATTGAGTTCAATGCCCTAAAAATCCATAAAGAATATGAAAAGATCAACTTCAACAGTTTATGGCGCGCTTAAATACAGATCTCTATAAAAACCAACATATTGTAATCTATGGAATATGTATGTACCTAATTCCTAATTGTTACATTCTGAATCACACTTATAATAATATTTACTCTATAAAGTTAGATTCATTTCATATATGTGAAAAAAATACCCAATACTACCTCTATTTAAAAACGTGTTCATAAAACTATATAACCTCCAATACACCCTTTACTTATAACACAAAGCATAGACAAGCTCCGAGCTGTCAGTATAGCGCGGGAAAACACAGCTGATGTGATGTTTATCTATGGTCGTCCCCGT